CAAATTTAAGGTATACTTGTATCGATATACATTATATAATGTTTAAATTTACAATATTTTAATTACAATATTTGCTTTTTTAGTTCAACAATTGGACAAATTAGAATAAGGCCATTCAATGAAATTTCAAATGGTGGCAGGTAAGATATCAATAATTATTAACTATTAGATAAAGGCTATTTACCATAATTTTACTATTTGTGTACATTAAAATTTCAAGATGAAAAACGTGTAATACAGTTTTTGTAAACATACATAACATTTTTATTAATGCTATTGCAATTTACAAATGATTCCAAGTCTGTTAACACGAGACACAAAATTCATCGATAAAGTTATTGATACATTGTGGCATATTATGAGCAATCAACTAAACACAACAATATTTTTATACTATTATTTAAAATTCATTATGTTACATCAACAGTCTCTATAATTATAAATATTAAATATTTGAATATTGTTTTCTATATTAAAATATCTGAATTTTTATGTTTTGTCTAGTATGTTCAGTGGAATGGGCCATTTGGTCACAAATATTGCCCCGGGTGACCTAACCAATAATTGGTAAGTACTTATTATAATTTTGTTAAGAGAACGCCATCTCCATCATGTGTATGTTCTGTGCTACAAATGTACAACATACCAAAATATACATTCCAAATAATACATTTAATCTATTATTTAAAAAATCATAGTATATTGAGGTACCTATTAAACAATTTAATAGTAAGATAATCTAGGGCGTCTCTGAGGCTTTTATTGATATTATTATAGTTTTGAATTTTGAATGTAGAAAAAATGTTAGAATTTTAAAATGCTCATAATTTTTAATTATAAAGTCAATAATTAAAAAGCCTCTGAAGGTTCCCTGTATCTTACCTTTAAATTTAAATAATATATTGTTTTGGATTCTGATGTGTATGTGTTACTTTTTATTTTGTATTTATTGTGTCTGTGTACACAATAAGTTGTTGAAATAATGCTTCGATTTTCAACTTCACGTGGGACAGTGAATTTAATTGGTTGCTTTTCGAGAGGTTAAAATAGAAAATTCTGAGTAGGTTTCAAAATCGTTAAACAAAAAGTCAAACACATATTTTTAATAATCGTTTGAAGATTATAACATATTATTCTCATAGAACGTACGTATTTTGTTGCAATTCAAAAACTGATAGGTAGGTATTTGTAGATAATTTATATTTTCACCAAATGTTTGTTTTATAATTTTCCATAGTATATTATACAATTTTCTAAATATTAATATTTAAAGTTGAAATGTTGACAAAATTAATCAATTAATTAATTAATCAAAGTTAAAATTTGGACAAAATTAGATATCATTTAAACGGAGTAGAAAGGTTTTAGTTATTTTTTGTAATTTAAAAATATTATTACATATACTATGAGCTGACGGTGTGTCTTCGCTCAGAAATATAAATCGTTAACAATGATTTATATACATAATTGCATTCAATTTTAACACATCCATATTACAACCTTTTAACCTAACTGTACAGCAGTGGTTGCAATCATTTTTATATTAATAACTGCATCAAATTAATCAAGAATTTTAATTCCCCTCTACTATGAAATATTGAAAATTTATAATATTATAGGATTAAAATATTCCTAATTAATATATCTATAATTTTTTTTCTAGATGAACCGGAATGAAGATACCCACTGTGCAATAATTTGTACCACAAACATTTCTAGGCTGTTGACCGATGTTTCATAGCTGTCTCAATGTTATTAAAAACATCATTGCGATGTTTGATCCTATTGTTGTATACCTATTTGTTTAAAAATATACAATGCTGATAATTTTTTTTTAATATTATACATATGGATTATTTATAATATAATACCTGTATTACCTATGCATAAATTATAAATTTCTATGAATCAATATTTACCACCTAATTAAATATTGAAAATTTTAAAAAAAAACAACATTATAATTTAGTAACTCCAATTTATTTACTTGAATAGGTATATAAGTGAAAAATGTATTTACAAAATAACATAAATAATGATACAATACAAACTATAGATTACAATTTGTTTGCAAATTAACAGATTTAAATCATTCAAAGTTATATATTATAATAATATTATTAGATTAATATAAAATGAAATAAAATGATTGAATACCTATTAAAAATTATATATAAATAAAAAAAAAAACAATCAATTCTTATATAAAAAATTGTATACACATAATTTAATAATATATAGTATAGTACATTCAATTATTATAAAATAATAGGTACCTATACAGTTACAAAATTTATTTAAAAAATAACATAAATGTTAAATAATACATACAAAAGAATATAATTTTTTTGAATGACTTAATAGTGTGTAATTGTAGCCTGAAGGTACAAGCTATTAAGTCTCTGAATGACAAAGTGTTGAGATTAATGCCAAATTGTCGGATAGACTAATAAAAAAACATTTGTATTTTATATCAGTTAAATTAATACAATATAATTCAGACATTTTAGAAGTGTCAACCATGTAAACCCCGATTTTGAATGAAGATTCTGGTGTATTAGTAAATTCAGAACAGCTGATGAACTGTTTTACAATTAAATTAGGAGGTTTATTTTTCGGTTGAACAATATGCTGAACCATAACAAGAGTGTTATTAGTAAGCATTATGTATCTATCTTTTTCTTTAAGAACATTGATAATTGTATTTGTTTGTTCTAAAGTGATTTTTTCAAAAAGTTTATCATTTATATTAAAGAGAGGTGAAGGATTACTGTGTATTATTTCATTGCTTAAGACAGGATATTGTTTATGTAATTGAGCAGGAAGTGTATCATACATTTTTTGTTTTTCTACTATTCTATTGAAGATTTCTTGAAGAGGATATTTGATTGACTTGATAGATTTTTTTATTTCTTGTAAATAATTTTCATAACGAAAACAACTAAAATTGTCTAATGGACCATGAATAAGAACATAAAATGGCAAGTGAATTAAACTATGTACATTATAAGAAATGTAATGAGAACCATATAATGCGGAATAATCATCAACAAATTTCTTTAGAAACTGAGTTGATAATTCATTATACTTAGAATAGGTTTCAGAACAAATTAAAATTCTAATTGCATAAACCAACAATAGGAAATGATAGTAAAACTTTTTTTTAAGTTACCCTTTAGAACTATTTGACCGGTATACAATAAAAAAGTTCTAAGTTCTGTGGCTTTATAGTGTTCAATTTCATCCAGCGCCCTGGGTAAGCGACATATCTCAGAAGGTACATAAGGTCTTAATTTTTTTAACTCATTATTTATTTTTTCTTTTTTATCTTTTTCCAATCTTACTTGCTTATTACCTTTCACCCAAAATTCAACTAATTTTTTAACTACACCTAGGCATACATTATGCATGTAATCTAACACAACTGTATTGATTATATTAATTGGTAAACGAACTAAAGGACTATTGCCTTTATGGTAATCCTCATCTTTTTTACTTCTGAAAGATTCATCAGTTCTTAACGTAGCATCTAAACCAGGATAAGTCATACGATGTTCCAAATATGTACCTTCCTCTATACATAATGTACAGCCAAAATATGCATTATGACCCTTAACAATAAGTAAAAACGCCTTTGCTGGGCTATCACATGACACATTTGAAATATTTACAGTAAAAAACAACCCATTTACAGTCAACCCATTATCTATTAACTCCAATAAATCTATAATTAATGGATTTAAGAATTCTTCAATAGAAAGGGGTTTTTGAAATCCATGGAAAATGCCTATAGGTATAACATTTTCTTTTAGCTCTTTAAAATTTAAAATTGATATTAATGCTGGCCAAATTTGACTTTTAGAACTTTTAGATACAGGAAGTCCATCTATATTGAGACCTATCTCTAATACATGGGATTTAATATATATTTGAGCATTATTTTTAATTAAAATAGGTAGTAGCATATTTCTTAGACCTAAATGTATGTAGGAACCACCAGAAATATCAACAATATCATGAACTTTAGGAGTTTTCATCAAAGTCCTAATATCTTTTGGAACGTCTAAACCTTTACTTTTCAATAACTGAAGCAAGCTGTTACAAAAATTATGTGAAACTTTGTGTTTAATAATTAATAGACGCAATTTATCTGTTATACATACATTTTTCTGTACATCAACTTCTAACATAGGGCCCATAGAGTCATGATTGGTTATAGGTGGATCATTAAAAGCATCAACACCCAAATTAAAGTTATTGGATTGGACCGTTTCAAAATTTAATGTATTTAACAAACATTCAGGCATCATGGGATCTTTCACGGATACTGATAATTTTAGTGGTAAATCATTGTTTGTAATGTTTGTCTTAACACAATTTATACTATTACTATTTACTATGGACGTAACATTCAAATTTACTTTTTGTTGTTCAGCTTTTAGTACTCTTCTAAAATATTTTGTTGATATGAGGGATAAATCTTTTTTCTTTGAACTGCTAATCTGAAAAAATAAAAATAAAATAATTAGTCCACAAATAGGGGTTAAAAGTAATTCAATCTAAAAAAGTTAAATTGAATGCACCACAAAAAAATAAGAATTGAAACCAGTATTAATACTATATTAATTTGTTTGTTACATATTATATTATATTAAACGAGAATTATTATTTTATTTATAGAAATGCCTGCGGGGGCAGAGAGTACAATTGACAGTCCTATTCAATAGTTTATGTAGATATAAGCAGTCAAAGAAATCACGTCTTCTACCTAGAGGTGATAATAAACATTGGTTTCTCCATAGAAAAATCATTTTAATTTTAATGTTATGTTAAACTTTAAATAAGATTTTTTTAAATATTTAATTACTTTTTTATTTAACTACAAAATTAATTAAAATGTATCTACATTCTAACTACAATACCTATACCTATATTTGCATTCTTACATACAAAATTCAATATATTCAAAATAACTTAATACTAACTTTTGAAAATTAAACTTATTTTGCTCTACTCAAACGAGTGTTTGCATGTCTAAGCCAATTTGCAACAGTGATTTCAAATTCTGAATCCGTTAACACATCATTGGAATTGGCTTTAATAAACCCTAAAAAAAATCATAATGTTTCTGTATATTATAATGTATGTTTATATGTAATTGATTTATAATATAGTACATTAAATAACTTTTTATTAGTTTTATCACTTCAGAACTTCCTATTGTAATGGATATATGTTTACCACGTCCAGTCCAAGTAGAGATAACAGCAAATTCATCGCTAAATATTTTTTGTAACACCCTTGTAATATTATTTTTTAGTCCACATCCACCAATACTTTTAATGAATGATTCCTAAAATTATTTACAATAATATAAGGATAAATTGAAAGCAAATTTTCCAAGTTTAAATTAGTTTTTTTATAAAGATAACATACTAGTTTCAACACAAAGTCCACTTCATTTACTATGTTTGATTCAACTGATAAAAATTCATCTTTATTTTTAATTGGGAATAATGAAAGAAAATTTGAATCAATATACTGGTTGGCCATCGCAGAGTTTAAACTATTGTTTTTTGAATTAGTTTCCAAAACTTCAACTTTTGTAAGTAATCGATTCAAAATTAAATTTGATGCCACTAACTCTTTTTTAATGTTGACTTGTTCCAATTGCATATTAGTTAAAATATCAAGAATTTTCTAATTTAAACTACCAGTACCTATGTAATAAAAAAATTATAAAAAAATATTTGTACTGATTTTAAATTAATAATATTGAAGTAGTTAATTCAAAAATATGGGTAATTCAGATAAAATACTAAGTAAGTATACTCACTGGTTGTACTGTATGAGGTATTAGGAACAATAAATGGTTCATATGGTTCATATAATTGTATTTCATCAGTATTTTTAACCTGAGACGTTGTCTGCTATCAATTAAATATGAATTTCCGCATCAAAATGAAAATAAATTTAGTTCAATTGTTAATTTTTTATGGTACTTAATATTTTATAAATTTAAATTGATGGAATGATATTGTATATTCTATATTATATTAAAACATAGTACCTATACTATTTTATTTTTAACTTTTTAAACTATTGCAGTGCTTAAATACCTAATTAAAAATTAAATTTGTATTACCGTATGTATGTCATCATTAATTATGTATGATACTGAGGAACTAGCTGCAATTTCTACTGCCGGTGGTAATACAGAATCTAGTTCACAATTGAATTCTTCATCAGAATTCCTCACCAGCAATTCAGTATATGTTAATGGCACATCTTTTTTTAGTTTTTTGCTGATAGGTGTTACTGATATGCTACAATCTAAATAAAAATAAATTAATACCTAATTTTTAAAGAAGTATAAAAAATAGTAGGCATCAGTGGCGTCATTTCAGTTTTAATTAGACTAGGGCAATTTTTCACTACTTATCCGACTCAACATTTTTTTCACTCAGATTCTCATAGCGTAGAACCAAAGTGTTAAAAGGGGGGGGGGGAGCGTGTGGTAAATGTGCCGACTTAAGGTTGATGTAAATACTAGACCGGGGCAAATGCCCCAGTTGCCCTCCCCCAAATGACGTCACTGGTAGGCATACCTTCAAAGTCACTGTCGTCATCTTCAGATGAACTTCTTTGGCGGTTTTTCTTTTTCTTTTTGAGTACTTCAGGTTCATTTTCTGTAGCAGAACTTTCAATCTCCACACGTTGATGCCAGGCTTCTTTGAAATTGACTAAGTAAACGAATACAATTAGGTACAATTTGAATTATGAAGTAATTTCAAGTAGGTTTCAAGTTTATTTGACTTGCATTACTTATTAATCGAACCTATTGTTTTAAAACTTTTTATAAAGTACCTACCATATATTTTACTGGACAAGATTTTAATTTTGAATAAGCCCCATAAATCTTCTGGATCATCCGCGTTTGTTAGTTCAATGCTCGTTACATTAAATGGAGGCCATCGACAAAGTTCAACTATTGAAATGTTGTCCGCGGTTAGCTCCAATGTTGGTGGTAAAATTAGCCAATTAACAGGCACAACACTGTAATCGTTTGATTCCGTAAAGGAAACAATGACCCATCGCTTATTATACTTCCGGTTCTAAGTGGTAATGGTAAAAAAGCTTATGTTATTAAATTTAAATTACCTACATAATTAAATAATATAAAAACTTACTTTACGGTTCTTTAGCGATTGTTTCGTAGACATGATGATATTATTATATTTATGTATACTATATTACTATTTAACACTGGCGACTGGCCTCTGAAGACTGAACAAATAAAATAACAAACTATAAAGTAAAAATGCAATAATTGCAAATTGCAATAATGCAAAATTGTATAATACAAACACTGGTACGAGGCACGAGCTCAATCAAGCGAGTATTATAGATAGTCGAGTACTCGAGTGTCGACGGCGGAGTGCGGACGTATAGCGGCCGGTCGGGCAGCACCGGTGAACCCACTATATATATATACAATAGTTATTATAGTCACCAATGAACTGATAATAACGTCATAGAAAACCCAAATAATATTATAAATATATTATAATGTCTAATAATAAATAATAAAGTAGAAATAGCTATGTTGTTCGTAGAACCCCCTCCCCACCATCCTACTCAGGCGACAGCCGATATAATAATATATAATAGTTTAATATATATACATCCCGAGAACAACCTATTTACATTGAAATGCGATGTTCCGTAAAAGGTAAGTTTGAAACGTTGTTGGTATGTTATACATTTATAGTTAAGTGACAACTAAAGGAAAACATCCATAAAATGCCCTATAAACATAGAAATGTGATGTTCCGTATGCAACCCAAAACATACATCGCAGAGATGTTAGGCAACATCAAATGTTTAGTGGATATGTTTGTTGAAGATCCACAAGATCTACACAGGGTCCACAGATATCTACCACTGTAGTTTTTTGTATAAATGCTATTTAATTATTTTTATGCGATTAAGACATTGTGTACTTAAATTTAACATTTTTTTTTATTATTGTTTATTATATAACTTTTTGCTTACTTATTTGTAGTTTTTTGTGTTTGCACTAAGTACTTTAAGTTCTAAATTCCTAAACTATAAAATAAGGTTATTTGATAATGATGGTGATGATGATAAATGATAATGTATATTCTATACAATATATTATATTGATTTGATATATTAATAACGAAACAAAATAAGATTAAAAAAACAGTATAAATATTTTATTGATTAATTGAATAATTAAAAATATGTCTACATACAAAGGAAACGTGTGTGCTATTCATAGCCTCAAGAGATGGTTTCCATGTTTTGGGTATAGTTTTTTTAGATTTCCCAAGGATCCTGAACGGTGAGTTGTCAAGTATATACACAATTATTAAACTTAAAAAAAATTAATTATTTGAAATTTTGATCAATTGTTTAACATATTTAATTGATCAACATTTGCAACTACAAAAGAATTAAATAGAGCTTTTACTGGTTGTGACATCCAAATTAAATTTTTACTAGCAAGCAGCAATTTTAAAAAAAATTCAACAATATTGTCTTCTATGGTTCTTAAGGGAATTGCAGGACAAATTGTTTTCATACTTCTTAGACCAGGAAGCGGTGGAAAACTACACAATATACCTACCTACTTCGAAATTTCCGATTTTAATTTTTAATGTACCTAAATATACATTCTTTGACAAAATATCTGGGTTATTTAGTTCAATTTTAAATTTTAAATCAAATAAAAAAATAATTAAATATTATTCTTAAAATTCTGTGAAATAATTGCATTGCATATTTACGCTTATATTTATTTTGGGCAAATTTTAGATTTTAAAAAGGAAAAAAGGTGGGCAAGTGGATGTCGCTCTGCTGTACAGTAGGTTACAAGTGGGTCACTGTATAATGGATGATATTAAATTTGAATTCAAAGATATAATATCATTGTATAAGAAAAGCGATTCTGAGTGGAGACGGTATGTCAGTCTAGGTATAAGACATATTATATACATATCTATGGTATTAAACAAAAAATTGACCTATAATAGGTACCTATAATAAATTCAAAATTAATCATATCACAATATCCATTAGGTACTTATAACGCGTTATACATCAACAAATACCGTGATACTATCATAGATATATAATAGTACACTTTAGAAGTTTCAAGTACCCACGAATAATATTATTCAATCACATCAAAATAACTAAAAAAGTTATTCTAGGTTTTTTAATATGTAATTTCGTCCAAATTTGAATTTAAAATGTCTGTAAAAATAACTGGGTTCATATATTTTTTTAGATTTTTTGGTTACAGTATGAACTATTTATGAGAACCTTTGTTTTAAATTTACAATCCTTAGCTATAAAAACTGAACATTTTATAATTTATTAATTACGATGATTAATAATTTTCGAGATTTTGATAAATTTTGTCAAAATTCGATCTTTAAATGCTTATAAAAAAAAATTGATCCTATGTATTTTTAATATTTTTCAACTGATATTGTAACAATACAACATGAGCCTTGTATTACATTTTTACACATTTTGGCCCAACCGATAAAACTTTATTGATATTTATAGAATAAAAAACTAAAAAAATTGGAAACTGAAAATGTCCGTAAACAACTCAAAAAGAGTCAAAATATTTTCAAAATTGTATGGTGTATAGGAAATGCTATTATTAACATTCAGTAAAATTTTCATGTATCTACAGTTATTGGTTTTTGAAGTACAACAAAATAAGGAAATCGCTACATGAGAAATCGAGTGATTATCCAATATTGTAAAAATTTGAATTTCAAACACTCATAACAATTTAATTTGACTTTCTTATAGACATTTTTTTTTTTTTTGATAAAGGTAGATAATCTTATAAGGAATCTTTTAATACATTTTAAAACCTTAGATTTAAAAAGAAAAATTTTTACGAATTCTTAACTCAAAATAATTTGCTAATTTTCATGATTTTTCCATATTTTGTCAATTTTTGAACTTAAATGCTTATAAAAAAAAAAACTGTGACTAAGGATTTTTAATATTTTTTAAATGCCATTGTAACAATATAGTAGAAGCCTTCTATTAATTTTTCAAGCTTTCTTAACCAACAAATAAAATTGTATTGATATTTTTAGAAAAAAAACTAAAAAAAATGGAAAATGAAAATGTGCCTAAACAGTTCAAAATAAATCATAACATTTTGAAATTGTTATCGTTATGTTAAAAATGCTAATAGAAATGCTAATAGAAACATTCAGTCAAACATTCATGTACCTACGGTCATTTGTTTAAGAGTTGCACCAAAAACCAAAATCGATTTTTTCGAAAACAGATTTTAGTGTAAAAATTCCCGTTTTTCCTTAATTTTTATTTGGTTTTTCACGCGGCTTTTGAAAACTACTGGGAAATTTTCACTTTTGACCCACCAAAATACCAACTAGATTCACTTTCCTATCAGAAAAGCTACTGTTGAAGAAAATCCAATCACTTTTACTGCCCTAAAACGTCAGACACAAAAATAAAAAAAATAATAAAATAAAAACACACATCATTGTAAAATCAATACATTCATCGTTTCACTCAGAATCTAAAATGATTCCTAAAATGCTTAGTTAAGAAAAGTATGTATTCAACCATTTTTTCGAGACTACAATCGAACT